GGTTGTTGTCCGGAAAAAAATTTTTCCGGGAAAATTTGTTTTGATAGGGGCCCCTAAAAAAAAATTTGCCCCGGGCCCCCGCCAACCTCTGGGCGGCCCTGCGTCTCATCAACTGGCTTCAATTCAATTATGTGCCTCCAAGTTTTGCCTCCAAGTTTTTGCATTCTAGTTTCATCAACAGTCTTGACTGTTTTACTTTTACTTGGGGAAAATAAGAGAGGAATTTTCATTTTTGTTATGGTGAAAGGCCAACAAAGCAAACTCCACCCCACAACACACAAAAACAACTTTAGAACATTTCTACTGTTCCACGATTATTCGTGCCAAATTCGAGTCCTCAAATTCTTAATCATGTCCAGATTTTATAGAGGCAAGTTACCCGGCATTTACCGCTTGATTGCATGCTTTATGACGTGTTAAAATCAGTGGCGGCGAAACACAGCCAGGAATTAGGTTTATATGGCTCGATACAGTTTTCGAAACGTCAGGTGTATTATATAGTTTGACAGTTGTAAACGGTTTCATGCAGCAGATATCAGGATGTTATAAATCCATTTTGATGTTTCGTAAATGTGATGTTATAAATCCATTTGCCGTATATGTCGTCAAATACAGCACATTGTCCCCTGTGGATACATAAATTTCCCCATCTACCCTACCGTATTAAAAAGCCTGATTCCTTAGCTTCTTGTTGATACCAAAATGGCGCAATATATTTCAAAACAAAACATGGCTCGCAAGCGTTTTTTAATAGACGTCGATATAATCCTTTATTATATTAATAGTATAGAGTGAGATACTGAGAAATATACAGTGACATATTTTCCATATCTTCACTAGTGAAGATATCGATCACGTGACTTTTAGTATTTATACATTTTTTTGCTTGCGACTATATAATAAACAGAACATTACACGGCGGCTTGAAGATATTACTTTTATCTTCTCGTATTAAAAACAATATTTTACTCACTCGCTGCGCTCGTTCGTAAAATATTGTTTTCACCACTGGAAGATAAAAAGTCATATCTTCGCGCCGCCGTGTAATATCCTCTATATATTCTCGTGTATTGCATCGTATCTATGTAAGTTAATTTTCGTGATTTTCAACGTTTAAGAAGGATAGATGTTGTTTTCACATGTTTATCGCGTCTTCGTTTACATGAAAATTATCGTTTGTGGATAATTCACTTGTCAATTTTTACTGCACTTCTCGGCAAAAATGGAAGGTTTAAAATATGTCAGATCACTTCGAAAATAACAGAAAGAGGCTTGATTATGTGAAGCAATACGGGTAAAGAAATGGGCTACAAATGTTTTGTTATGTTCAAAAATAGTGAGGCAAATTTCGTAACAGCGATTGAACTGGCTTATATTTACAAAAAATGGCGCTCCCCAATACTATTCTATAGTAGCGTTTCGGCCATTTTGCTTTTTAAAGTTCGCACATGCATGCTCAGTGCAAATTTCTGGCCATGTGTGGACTATGTTGCTGACAACATAGACTAAAAACAGGCAAAATACAAAAAAATGCTGTAATGTCATTTTTTTAAAGCGTCGTTTTTTTTTCGATAACATTTTTTGGCATTACAGATTTTTTTTATTTTTGGTATATTGGACTTTTGCAATAAAATGCAGTGTGCAAAATTTGAACATAGTTACCCCACGAAATAACGAGATATGGCGCACTTTTTTAAAAAAATTGACTTAATTAATAACGTCAGCCATTGACATCAGGTCAATTCGGCATATGTAAGTGCTTTCGTTAATTTTCGGAGACACGAATTGCCACCCGGATTTGTTCATATGGCATGACGTTCTGTTTTTGCTATTTGTGCTTAAAGCCCTGTTTAAACGGATCCAACATTGTTGGGGCAACATCATCCAACATTGTTGACATAATGGCTCAAACGGCTTCTTTTTCAAATATTTTTGTCAAGACTAGGTTTAGAGTTTGAGTAAAGCTTATCTAACCAAAAACATTTGAAAGAGAAGCAGTCATATCTAGTATAGTAACATTGTTGGATGATGTTGGTCCAACAATGTTGGATCCGTTTAAACAGGCCTTAATTAAGCTATTGTGTGTATTATTATATCGAGCCATGCCACCTTAAACTAAATTAAATAACATTACAAAATTTCTTGAAAATACAGGAAGAAGCGCCGAAAAATTCAGGAAAGCTTGTACCCAATGATTTGTAATGTATTTCTGAGCTATTTGATTGTTGAGTTTCACAGGCAAAATGTTTTGATGGGGAAAATTTTATTTAAAAATAGAAAAACATGGACATGGTCGCGCGGGAGCAAACTTTCAATTGGAAAAAATTACCTTTTGGTTGAACGAAATTACTCTACAGCACCTTGGAATGTTAACAGATTTTTGGATAGTATTTCAAGGAAATATTGATTACGGACCAGTATATTTTTAGTTTGCTCCATTTCATGTTCGTGTCTCTTTTTAGCTGGCATGCAAAAACAGAAATATTCGAACAAAATCTATAAATGTTTTGCTTCTTCAATTGTATTTTTTTTTCAGATGGTGTCAACATCATCGGGAGGAATTTGAACGAAATAGAATTAAAGTAGCCACAGATTGATAGATTTCTTTCGAAATTTTTTGTTCTTGTCAGTTAAAAATGTAATAAATATAAAGTGAGTAAAAGATATACTCATCGGTGCTTTGTATTTATTTATATATTTTGCTTTCATATTAAAGTGCAACGTGGTTTCAGACGTCGCATTTACCATGTGTAGAATTTAAATAATTATGTTGGGCGAGACTTCGAAGACTTCATGTAATGTTATTGAAATGTCGCATGAGGGTAATTCGGGAAAAGATAAATCTTTGGATATTGCTATTTTTCCGAAATATTTAGCCTTATAATATATATTCTTACGACATTCTTAAATTTTGGAGTACAGCTAGTAAGCACCATGTATATTTGCATTTGTTGTAACAGATTCATCACAGCGAATCACATGCTTTCATACTTTCCTCTGAACGATGTTCAGTGAATGCTCTACGGTATATTCTGAGTAAATTCTTTAAACTCTGCCTATTTTAACCTTAGTTTTCCTATAAGCGAGATTTTTGTATGCCGCTGTCTCAAATTTTACGCCAATCCATGCCGAATTGAATTCAAAATATGCAAAATTCGGTGTTTAGAACGGGTGTCCAATATATTATTTTGCATGTAGTTTCCTCAAAGCTAATGCGAATTGTATATGACAGCTGAAAAATGCAACTTTTGAACCAGGCTTTTTAATATTTTCTTGTTTATAATATCTTACCGCAGTTGGAGCAGCTACTATATTTGTAAGTGACGATGTAGGTCGACGACGGATATCTGCAAACACTGTGAAGACGACTGTAACAATTGTCGTGTATTTTACAGCAGCTAAAACAATAAATATATACAAGGTGTATTAAAAAATGAACAGATTTGAAATTGTTCGCAATTTCGTAAAACTGCTTATGGTACCAAGTTTTTGTTATCTATATATAGATTCCTTGTGTACCCATAATGTAGAATAATGAAAAAAATACTTGATATCAAATACTCGAAATCAATATCGTTCCCAACTTGGCTTTGTAGCTCAGAAGGTGGAGCGTCGTTCTAGAAATGCGAAGGTCCCGGGTTCGATTCCCGGCCGTGCTCAAGTAGAATTAATTTTCTTCTTGCCCAGCTTATACGCGTAAGAAGATCAAAACACCTACACATTACAACACGAATAGAATCTCCAGAAAAAAATCATATAAAACGTTCGCTGAATTAATAGCTGGAAGGGAAGAAATTCGTTCATGTCATTAACATCACAAATAGGAACTATATTCAGTTCCGAAATATGACATATTCGAACCGACCTGATCGTGTAGCTCAGTTGGCAGAGCATTGGGCTAGTATTCCAAAGGTCGTAGGTTCGATTCCCACCGTGGCAGGCATATTTTTCAAGCTTGTCCGGTGTGGACCTTCACTCAGAGTGACATCACATGCATCATATTCACCTGAGTACATTAGACCAACACAGAAAAAATTAAATAACACATTGTTCCCAACTTGGCCTTGTAGCTCAGATGGTAGAACGTCGTTCTAGAAATGTGAAAGTCGCGGGTTCGATTCCCAGCCGTTGTCAAGTAAAATAAATTTTCTGCTTGGCCGGCTCATACTCGTAAGGAAGATCAAAACACCTACATATATAGACGTTTTCCGATCTGGTCCGATTGAACAAGCGATTTCCAGTAAAAGGATAAGTGTGAATGGCCGGATCGCAAAAGGAAAAAATGGAGCTTGTTACATTATATAGGTATTATTTAATTATTTTAATTTATGTGAGATAATAGGGCATTTGTCGACAAGTTTAATCCGCAGGACCAGACCAAATAAAGTTGAAAACATTTCAATTTTTTATTATTCGGCCAGCAACGTCACCGGATCAAACGGAACCAAACATTTCTACTGATTGCGGATGAGCGGATTTTATTTTGTTCCGATCTGGTCCGATCCGCTGCTTATTTTCCAGAGTGGAAATATTCTTTAACCAACACTCAAGCGGAGGGGGGGGGGGACAAGGCGCTGTTTTTAGTGAATTGTATCAAGAATGATAAAAACAACTTTCATGTTAGACTTATTTTTGATCTAGGCAAAGAAAAGTAAATTCGCGTAAAGAACTTATTAAAATTAGTAAAATTGCAAAATTTGGTTACGAAATGTTGTAAAGTACGGAAAATATAGCCTTGCGAAATTTGCATATTTTCAGTATGTTTGTATTACGTGCGGAAATTGTTACCATTTTCAGCTCAAAAATGTAACAATTTCCGCACGTAATACAAACATACTGAAATATGCAAATTTCGCAAGACTATATTTTCCAAGCTTTACAACATTTCGCAACCAAATTTTGTAATTTTGCTAATTTCATTATGTTCTTTTTAGCTGCGATGTTTGGTTCCCTTTTCTTTACTTAGATTAAATTAAATTTAGTCTAACATGCAAGTTGTCCATTTATAGTGTCCGGGTAGGTTTTGTCACTGATTGTAGTTTGTTTCCCAAAAATTTCTTATATATATATATTTTTTTTTTTGGTTATTTTTTGTTTTGTTTATATTTTGGTTATATTTTTTGTTTGTTTGGTCATTTTTTTTTTAGCGCCATATTTTTTGGTGTGTTTTCACTTTTCGTTTTAATTATTATTTTCATTGGATGACGTCATAATGTTGAATAAGATTTTCATATTCATATTCAACAGTATGACGTCACTCCGTTAAATATTATGTAAAGCTCCATGTTTGGTCAGCAGTGGAGTTGATTTCACGATTTCACACTCAGTCAGTTGCCTGTTAGCCAATCTGACATCAATTTTTTTATATATATATAATGATTTTATTTATAAATAAAAACGATTCCGTTTCTCGCGTAAATGAAACATTTCATGACATTCTGCAGGCAAGCCAAGGCAAACATTTGCGAATTCTTATCCAATTTGCATCCAAATTAATTTAAGCAAAATTTAATCAATTAGTTCTTGTGAATGTCCGTTAGTCTCACTGTTTTTCGAATTTATACGACATTTCTATATATAAAATTACGTGCTGACAGAAAGACATAAAAACACGGATGGAAACATAACCTGACGGAGGTAGTGATACCAATATTGCAATTGATATCGTAAAAGATGTACATACGTGTCCAGTGCATCAACAGGTTTCCCCTCACCACCATAACCACAGAAACATCCATAGTCCGTGAAGTCGAACATGCTACGTCCAGTTTCACAAGCTATCATATGGCCAAAGTAAAATCCTCTTTTATGAAATGGTGACATAACTATAGATTTAGAAGAAGAAAAAAACATGGTCTAAGAAGTGGTATAGTAAAAAAGTAAATGAACACCGTTGCTGTAAATGAGTGTTATTTTTGAGAAGTATAGGGACGTGACGAAATATATTTTGGCCACGGTACTTTTTATTTCTAACGAAGTCAGTTTTTAAAGCAACGAGTAGTTTCTTCATTATTTTCATATCGTGGAGAAGCATTTCGTTACTTTCCATAAATTATATTCGACCTATTCTTCAAATTACCTTAAGAAAAAGCAAGGAAACATAATTTCGAATAACACTGGTACGTCGAATTTGATAGTTAGCCTTCTCAGCAGTAGATTTCCCTATTTAGGCAAGTGTGGTTTTTAAGGAGGTCTTTGAACAGAGGCGTGGCCAGGATTTTTGGACAGGGGGGCCAGCAAAAACCCAGGTGGGGACAAAAAATTTTCCGGACCACAACATTTTAAATCTGCCCCCCCCCCCCCAGTCGACAACTTTTTTGGTAAAAATTTTTTCAGGACAATAACATTACAATGGACAACTTGCATGTTAGACAAAATTTTAATCTAAGCACAGAAAAGGGAATCAGACACAACAGCTAAAAAGAACATATTGAAATTAGTAAAAGTGCAAAATTTGGTTGCGAAATGTTGTAAAGCTTGGAAAATATAGCCTTGCAAAGTTTGCATATTTTCAGTATATTTGTATTACGAGCGAAATTGTTACCATTTTTGGCTCAAAAATGGTAACAATTTCCACACGTAATACAAATATACTGAAAATATGCAAACTTTGCAAAGCTATATTTTCCAAGCTTTACAACATTTCGCAGTCAAATTTTGCAAGTTTACTAATTTTAATAAGTTCTTAGCGGGAATTTACTTTTTTTTTGCCTAGATAGGCTAGATCAAAAATTTGTCTAACATGCAAGTTGTCTATTGCTTTCGTGGCACTTTTCCCGATTTCCATATCACATTTTCCGATGCTTCACCACGAAGATTCCGACAACATTGACAAATTTACGAAGGGGCGGGTCACAACATGAAGCAATACAGGGTGTTTTAAAAAAACGCTATGAAAATTCAATAGGCTTTTGTGCATCACAAATTTAACTATACAATTCAATTTTTACATAGGACGAAAGAGCTGTTATTTAGATTTACTATGATATATTGCTTAAACCGTAACGATGAGAAATGGCAACATACTGGTCAAATACAAATTTTCGGTCGAAATCACATTCTTCCACCGTTGGGAATTAAAAATAATTAATTATGTAAAGTTAATCAATCCAAAAGCACCGCGAGTCTCCTGCAAGGTACTTGTTTCGTAAAACGTTTTGATTACGAATGTTCTGTGTTCAGGAGTTAATGAACCATGATGAAGGCAATAATGACGTTCTTATGGTCTCACTAAGATCGAGAGTGAGGAGTTGAGTTTACTTTAGATAATTTAACATTCAATTTTAATTCCCTCTTGGGAATTGTTTACGTTTCGTTTTCCATGCAATTCCCAACGGTGGAAGAATGTGATTTCGACCGGCAATTTTTATTTGACGAGTATGTGGCCATTTCTCATCGTTACGATTCAAAAAAGTATCATTGAAAAGCTAAATAACTGTTCTTTCGTCCTATGTAAAAATTGAATTGTTTAGCTACGTTTATGATGCACGACAGCCTGTTGAATTTCCAATGCGTTTTTTAGACACCCTGTATAATCAATGACTCCCTTTTTCATACAATATATTTTATCAGGTGGGGGGGAATATGGCCACGGGGTGGGGGCAGCCACATCCTTGTCTACGCCACTGTCGTTTAACCAAGGGCATTAATCTATCCCAAAAATTCGGGGGGGGGGGCGGACTCCAAACTAGGAAGGTCCGGGGGTATGCTACCTGAATTTTTTTTTTAATTTTGGCACACTGAAACGGCATTCCCAGCGTTGTAGAGGCACTTATAAAGTTATATTACAATGTGCATGATCTTAAATTCATTTTTAACCATGTGCGAAATACGCTAAAAACCAACATGTCCTAGCATGTGAACAGACGTTACTCTCGATGAAGTGCGCGCTAACATGTCCTCACCCTTATTTTAATGATAATAATCTATTAAATTAACCATTTGCATGACTTGCCTTATTTTGACGATAATCATCTATTTAAGGGAAACTCAGTTAAAACGCAATTATTTTTAAGTATTTACAATTTTACATAACATATGCATGATGGCAGTATTTGATCATACGTTGTACTATACTAGCTTCTTCTTATTAAATGTCTCCTTTCAATCACAATTTTTGATGAATAGCATACCAGGCATTAGGTTTTCAGATAACCAAGAAACAAAATTTCATTAAACATGCCAAAAAGTGGTGGGAGGGGGATAATTAGATATTCGTCCCCCCGACTCCAAAAACTGGGGGACGCGTGTCCTCCATACCCCCACCCCCACCCTGATTGACGCCCATGCTTTGAACTTAAGAAATCACAGATTTAGTTGTAGGTATGGACTGCAAGTCAGATGTATGTGAGCGTTTCGATTCATTGAATGCTAAAACTCTTCCCCTATTTCCTTGGAAATTCCTAGGAGGTCCTCGCAACTGTTCTATCATTTACAACAAATATCTGTAAGTTGCATCTTTATGAAAAAAATACCGCTAAGACCTGGTCAAAATGTACTAAATCTTGTTTCGCAAATACCTTAAGAACCAAAAACAAATAAAAAGTTACCTGTTTTGTCGTTGTGGGTCAGCATCTTGTTGAATGCTGAATTATATCTGGATGTTCCTATAAGTAGAACAGCACTACATAAATTGATTTCAGTTCTTTCCAATAATGAGGAGTAGTTGCATTAAAAAAATAAAATGTAACGAGACTAAAGGGGCAAGTCGGGGCACGTATAGGGGTGCAACCGAACCATTTTTACGTTCCGGTAGAACAGGATTTGGCCGGACTTCCGACCGGAACCGGAACTGGTTCATTAAGCAATATTTGGTCATGTATTTTTATTTGTTCGAGCCGAAACTGGAACTCTGAAAAATCGGGGTTCCGGCCGAAACTAACCGGTGCATCTCTGGCCACTTTTGACATAAAAAGAGCTCTTTTTACGTTTAACATGTGAAATATAGTACCATTTCACGAAAATTAGAAACGCACTTTTCAACTGGATAATTTCTATTTTTTAACAATTTCAAACTAATTTTCCTGCTTAAAGAACAACATTGAAAGTCATTATTGAAGCCAACCGATTTGTCTAGTAAAAGTCAGGAAAACACATGCATGTACAGTAAAATTGTTGCGTCCAGACCATTGCTCTTCTTCACATTAGCGCTTCTCACTACTCGTGCAGTCTTTGACTTTGTTCTACTGGCAATCACGGCTAACATTTCGCGACACAAAAATCTGTCACCGCGTATTTGACGAGAACAAATATTGGCATTCTTTGCTCACGAAAGTAACCTTACCGTGCACATTTTAATTTAAAGTTGTCGAAAAATATATGCATATAAAACGGAGAAAACATAAATTTAAACGAATTTTTTCCAAAATATTGTTTTTGTAATTGTAATATTTAAACGTTTTGAAATATAATTTTCAGTTGAATCTGAAATACATACCATTACGAATTTTGAAGTGAAGAGATGCAGAATTTGCAACATTGAAAAGCAAAAAGATCTGAAGAAAATAGATCAGCATTTTCATGATCTGTTAATTCACAACTAACCTGCTGAATGAATTTCACCTTATCCATCTGTTCTTAAATAGTCTAATATTGATAAATTTATAATAATAATAATTAAATAAATAAAATAATATAATTTTAATATGGGATTATGGAAAATAATAAGAAAATATGATTTATTAATAACAATTAGTTAATCAAGTAGCAACACAAATTCGTAATATTATTCCTAATTATTGTTCCTATTACGATTACTATACAATCTCTGTTTTGATTGCCTAGTGACTGCTGGCCTGCAAAAATCTTGACGACATTGTGCAATTATGACATCACATCTGCAGATAATATGTTTCTAATATGAATATGACGTGAACAGAAAATGATCGCCACGCCAGCAGAAGGAGCTTCTTTGCACACAAAAAATAAAAAGCCATTGCGAGATTCGCCTCGGTAACTGCATGGAAACGATGTACAAAAGCTAAAAAGAAGCGGAATAAAATTTGAAGTTGTAGAATTATTTTCTAATTCTGTTTTTTCATAAATACGCTTAAGAAAATAATTACTGAAGTCGATTTTCGCGTGATATCGGAAATTATCAAGGCCTCGGTTCGTATTATCAGATAACACAACCTTGACCATTTTAATAATTTTCGACACCACTCTCAACCTCATCCGCTAATTATTAATTTTACGTACTTTAATAATAATAGTACGAGCAATATTTTTAATAATGGGGAAAATAACAGAAAATAATTGATAATGAAACCAGAGGAAACAAATTGAAACGAATATTCCCCTATTGTTTATTGTGCTATGGCGTGAAAATGAAATATTTAACATTACGAATATCATTACGAATTTTGGAGTGAAGAGATGGAGAATTTGCTAAATTGAAGAGAAAAGCGATCTTTTAGAAGAAAATGCATCATCATTTTCATGACTAGCATCTTATCTGTTAAAAAATAATTTAATGAAACACGCACACCTGTTCTTATAAAATAATGAAATAATCTAATAATAATTTTTAATAATAATAATAATAATAATGCTTAAATAATGGTTCCGGAATAAAATAATATAACAATAATAATATCAATAATAGTTAATTAAATAATCTAATAATAATAATTTTTAGTAATAACAATACGGAAATAATTTAATAACAGGAAATAATTTGATAATTATCCTAACAAGAGGAAGAATTAAATAAATTTATAATATTTGTCTTAATTTTTTACTGGTAACTAAGCTTCGTCCAACAAACTCTACTGCATGGCAACGTAGTACTAAAAGAGTTTATATCTATATCCGACGTCTATATCCGACACAAATAACGGGGTTAATTTTTATCAAGTTATCCCATGCAGCCATTGCAGGGAATATCTATGTGTGTTTTAGGAAAACCTCACGCAAAACTAAGAATAAGAATACGCGCACAAATATCTCCCCAAATAAATATAGTGTTTGCCGTATTTATAGTGTATGACTTATTTTTGCCAAAATAATCCTTGCTATTATTCAATCTTTATCAAAAACACTTCTGCTAACATAATTATACAAAGAACACTGACATTTCAAAGAGCCTGGTAACGAGGTTGATTAAACTTGACTTCTGGAGAATATGTGCATTTCTGAACGTTGCTGGGACGATTGACTGACTGTACGTACATATATAAAAATCCCAATCGAAAGGGTTTTTCTTCAATCAATGTTCGAGCCGTTTCAGGACCAGATCGAAAATTACAAATCTATATTAATCCTCTATGGCCCGGAAGCGTTCATGACTCCAGAATATTTAAAAACAGTCGTTTGTGTGCCCAGTTTGAGTATGGTCACATCCAAGAAATGCTTCTCGGTGATAATGATTATCCTTGTTGACCATACTTGATGACGTCACTGGTGAATCCGCAGACACCCCCATAACGTAGATTATGCATCCCACATTCGAACAACAAATACAATGGAAAGGATGATTGGGCTTTGGAAGAGCTTGAATCCTTGCCTTTCAATGTAGGAACAAATTTTTCAACCCCCCTTACAATTATTGTGGAAACAGCAGTTCTCTACAATTGTTTAAGAAGAAGAAATGATCGCATTGAGGAAGAACCCTTGCAGGATGATGACGAGAATCTTGTGCATGCTATAATCGATCTGGTAAATCCCTTAGATATGATGATAAGATTGGAAATTTCAAAGAAGATCGAGCAGCCGTTCGAGCGAAGGAAACTGTGATTGAGGTGTCTTTGATCAATATTTCGTATACATTATGTTAAGCTGAGCATACATAAAAAGTTCAGTAAATTGTATAACAGATCTAGAAAATCTATTTCTCAGTTACTAACAACAAAATACAAAATACAAAGTAGAAATTTTCTATGTAATTCAAATATAAAACTTCCTGCATATATAGATTTCAGAAAACCGTGACCTGTGCCGAAAACAGGTGTCTTTTAATAGCCAAACCGTGGCTATAAGGTTTGTTGAAAACATGATGTAACAGCAACTGATTTTAATGATGATAAAGAGAAAAAATCTTCAAGGAATTAATGAAGAAGTCAAAGCTGGAAGTGATGAGTTTACTGAGGAGAAAGTTGGCCAACTTGAGGTAAGGATCAGTCTAATGTTTTACGTTAGCAAGTTTATACATGCCCATACATTATAAACTTAAGTTAATGAGCGTTCGAGCAAAAGTAAAGTTGTGCAAAGTTTCCTGGAGTTCAAAGGTCTGGTACAAAGGTCAATCTGTGAACTATGTGGTCATACACATGCAAAGCGAAGGCTGAATTAACAACGAACCATTGTCATATCTCTTCCCATGCGTGCAGGAAAATAGACCAATCAGGTTTCGTCTGCATATATGTACAGGGTGTATCAAAAAAAGCGCAATCCTCGACTGAAATGTAAATTGCTAAACAAATAATAGACGAAAACGTTAAAGTTTACATTAATTTTAAAGCGTAGCCATTCAGCTTTCTAACAGTGGGTGGTTTCTTAAATTTGACTCATTGGTTCGCGGGGAATAATACTTTACGTTATTGCGATTGGAGATTAAAAAAATTGAGATGGAATAACAAATCGTTCTCATGAAAACAACTGATTTTTTCATTAAAACAAAAAAATGTTGCATTTTAATAAATGGATTGTAACAATAAGTATAATTACGGCTTTTCTTCCACTATTTTTAACACAGTTTGAAACTTCAAATGCGATATAATTTTGGGTTGGACCATCTAAGCTGACTGACATCAGCTTGCTATAATTTCTGTTTACATAACATCGTAATTCGATGACACTCTGGCTCAGACACCAGAATGTTTTGATTCTATGATTTTTAGCATTCGTTTAGGATTTTCAAACAACCTGGTCTCTTTTGAAATACTTTTAATTTGTTCTTACGTGGTTTTCCAGATGTAGTGACGACAACATTAAAGTTTAAAGAAGAAAATTCTAACATTTAAACCGACTAAACAATAATATAGTAAACTTGCATAATTAAACAGCAACTAAAAATGATAGGTTTTACTAAATCTTTTCCTGTGCAATTATTACTAGCATTGGAGACAAGGATAATAGTTTGTTTGAAAGAGAAAAGAACAGGCTTTGAAATAAGCTTAAAAGCGTTTAACTAGAAATAGTATTTCGAAAGCTATTAAGCACAAAAGATGAATTGCGTTTATTTTGATACACCCTGTAGCTTCCTACTTGGATCAGTAAGCCTCATTGTGTCCCTTGCTCGCAAAAGTGTACGACCTCTGCGGCAAAATATTTTCGGAAATTACCACCCATCCCACACTTCAATGATTTTGCACCACTTTATTTTAACTAATATCAATAAATAAATAAAAATCTGTAAATATTCTTTTGTTATGCAATCCGTCATCAAGATTCGAATGGACTGCAACTCATGATGGTATTTTGGAGTAATTAATATGCTACTAGAAAATACATGCATGCAGAAACCCTCGCCTTGCTGACAAAACCGTTGTATTTTCCGAACATGAAGTATCAAAAGTAGTTGTCATGGTAACACGATAATTTTTTAAGAATATTCTTACAAATGAAAATCCCTAAAAATATCACTTTTAATTACAAAATTATCAATTTCCCAACATATTTATGTTAGGTATGTAATTATACGTAATTCAAGCTTCAATTTAAGGTAAAATTCAACCACAAACAATTCACAAAACGTTTTAAAGTGTTCTTTATAAAACTAAACTGCCTTTAACTATTAAATGGCTTTATCGATAAACTTTGAGTTTGCAATAAAATGATTTCAAATTCTCGCTTGCAAATAACTTTGCTTTATTTTTATTTAAAAAATTCAATATAATAAAAAAGGGAACCAATATTAAAGATACACTGAAATTATATGCTGTCTTGTTCAGTTGTTTCATATACGCAAAGGCCGTCGGGTTTTAAAGCCATTATAAAATCAATATTTAAAACAAACTTACCTTCGTTAACGTCGGCTCCCTTCTTTTAGCTGATTCTTTCGCCCTTTCTTTCTTGAAATTTACAAAATCTTGCAGAAATACGAGCAAAAATGAAGAATATTTGCAAGAAATTTATCAATCATCAACTCATCAAATCAAGAAATGTTTGCTATTTCGCTGTCGTCATGCAGCCGTTATAATGCAAACTTTAAATTGGACCAATCAGTGTCCGTTATTCATGACAGTCCGCCATATTTTTGAGATCAGTGAGGATGACCACCCATCGTTGGTGACCGACGCCCGCGCTCATTGATGAACATTAGACTTCGCTAATGCTTTCGTTTCCCCGGGTGTAAATAGCCGGGGGGGAATTAGTACCCTCGCACGGCGCTTCGCGTCGCCGGCTCGGGGATTACAGGCGCGTCTAGATTTTGTAATTATCAGTATTGGAATTGACTTTGAAAGTCTTGTCGTAAAAATAAAAATATTTGGTTGTTGAATTGGGGATGGAGTGGTCTCAAAGTGTAGCCCAATAAAGGTCAAATCTGCAACTCCATTGACTCACACAAATCAATTATACATGCAGTGTATTGTAAAGGAAACAATGATCATCACGGGGAGATACTAGACCCCTTGTACATTTAGGATGCCAATCTCGGGGAGCTACCACCTCTTGGGTAAAGAGCAACATGGGGGGACCACGATCCCTGAGGACATAAAATTATATCATAATCATATTGCTATAATAGTGTGTCTGTGGGGCGACACATTGGCCACAGAAAAGGAGATTTAGGAGAAATTGAAGCATTTCTCCGAAACAACTCTTCTCCCACAACATTGTGTGTCATTAAAGGAATACCGAATGGTTTTCCGTGCAGGATTGCGGGATCCATGCACGAGGGATGTTGCGAGACTTTCGGAAAGCGTAGAAATACACGAGCCGTAGGCGAGTGTATTTTTACGCTTTCCGAAAGTCGAGCAACATCCCAAGTGCATGGATCATGTTATCCTGCACGGGAAAACCATTTGGTAATTGTTTTATAAAATTACTACAGTGAAACGACGCTTAACTTGATTAAAATTACTGATGAAATGTGCAGTTCTCACAACATTCGTGAATTAACCAATCAGAGAATCGCTACTCCACGCTATTGAAAACAACAACATATGTGAACAGAATTTGATCGCAAATTCGCGAAAGTATACAGCGAAAATACAGCGACTTTTCCGATAAAATATACGAAATTTGAAATGGAAAACCTGCTAAACAGAGAGTCAAAGTAGTTTTGAAGATTCTCGACCTGAATATGTAAAGATTGCGAAGCGTTTGATCATGCATCCCATGGTCTAGTGAATTTCAACGCTACGCGTTGCTATACTTGCTGAATAGCAATGTATCAATCACAAATTTATTCATACAACTAAACCAACGTCTCAATAATTGGAAACTTACTTCAAAGTCGAAAGGTATCGTACAATGAAACTTTACAATGCGAGTATATTTGTAAAATTATGTGCAAGAATTTCTGTTCAGAATTTCCCGTGCAGGATTGTCTGATCCTGCACGGCTGTTGACCAATCAAATTGCGTGTTTCACTGTAGTTACTATATAAAATTGGTTTCTTAATTGTCTTAGAATGTTTGCTTAATGAATTAGTGCATTAAATATTTATTTGCAACATGAGCGGCCATGTTGCATCGGATATACAAACTCGCGCGGCGCAGACGAGAGTTTGTATATCCGACCCAACACGGACGCGAATGTTGTAAATAGCTTGTGAAACGTCTTGATGAGAACATCATTTATTTTGCGACAATTTAAAATAAATGAATAGTATTTGGTGGAAAATTTATTTAAATCACCATATGATTGCTCTTTCAAGCTGGCAATGTTAGTTCTTTAAACTTTTTTTTGCCTTAAATTTCATGCATGCAATATATAGCTTAATCTGTAGCCTACCAATGCTTTCATGCTTGAAAAAATATTATTGCAGCTTTCTTACACAATTAATTATTCAACTATCATTCAAGTACTGTCGGAAATGAATCATGTTAATTAATAATTAATCATTAAAAATTTTTGTTTGGAATATTCACATTGTATAATTAACAGGAGATTTTTTTGTACGTTTCTAACATGCGCTCTAAAAGTAACAAGTAAAATATACCATTTGATTTCAATCAAAATTTTTCAATGATACCTTTCTCAATCGGCAAACAAACTTATCAAGTATACTTAGTTCTCCATCTGCCAAATAATGCTAAAATGAAGAGATTTTAGATTGATATACCTCCAAGGAGAAATACCTTGGAATTGGACCAGTTTTTAAGGCAATGATACAAAAAATCTTAAAACAATAGCTAAAGGCCTATACTCTTTAGAAGGATGGGAAAATTAAATCTATATATATACCCAATACTAAACGCACAATAACATGGCAAATGTTTTATTACACCCTGTAAATAATGATTTTGTCATAAATAAATAAATGAAAGCATTTTTATTTTTCTACGATCTATTCGACTATATTTTAGTCCTCTTCTGGAATGGATAAAGTTACAAGAATAACAGTTCCTTATATACTCTAGTAATAGCTATATGCTGTCTTTCTTATAGTGATGATGATATATAGAAGAATATAAGTGTATAGTTCGTTGCGTTCACATTTGCTATGATCAAGATATTGTTAAATAAGCCACAAGAAAACAGTGTAATGACAAACTAAATTATACTTAAATGGATAGAGTTCCCTTTGAGCGTTAAGTTTTCTTGAAGAAGGGTTATTGGTGCAACTAGGATTCAACCCGTCCACATATTTTCAGGCTTTTCAGGACTTTCAATCCTTCGGTACGTTACACCTTGTTTTTCCAGTAAAAGATGAAACAGTTAAATGTATAATTCATCAAAAGGATGGTTCTACTCCAGATGCTTGCAATAACTGCATTATTAGTCCAATCGGTCGAGCGTATTGTTAGTCCGATGTATATGAACGTTGGAATGGATATCACCACAACACAAGCGACTGCTAGCAAACAACTCGATATGTTTTTCAAATAAATATTTTTTTTTATTTCCGGTGATATTCTTTTGTTTTTACGACTTCTCCTGACGACTATAAACAGTTTGTAGTTGATGAATAACATTGGAGGAATGAGAAGAATAGAAATAATTAGAACATGTACTCCGTCGGAAATAACTAAGTAAGACATTACATTCAAAGTTATTTCGACGATGCACAGTATTGCAAGAAGTGTTAAAAGTTTTCCCTACGTTACCGATGTTCGATGAAAAATAGGATAAGATGTCGCCAAATAACGATCGAAATTCATCACCAAAAGAGCGAATAATGAAAAACGAAGGAAAATACCTGTCGATTTTAAGGGGACATAAGCCCATCTAGTATTTACTTCTACCTTTGCCGTCAACGATAACATCGTGATAAGCGCCATCAATGGATTATTAGTTGAAACCGTAAGCAAATCGCAACAAGACAAAACCATTATCATGAAATAACCTCCAGAAACTGAATATGACCAAGGAATTTAAACATATTCCCGAGAAAAAGAAAAATACGTTCACAGTAAATATGAACAACAGGTTGATAAAATAAATAGATTCCATCCTCGCGCGACTTTTGAAGAATTAACGCGATAGCAACGCAACGGTTGAAAAGTTTATTATCACAATACAGTCGCTCAAATTGGTCACACCTGTTTTTAATTTATGGCAATGACACACTTAAGCGCCGGTGAAACGAAATTGAGGGTTGATGAGAGCTGGCAGTCACGATCGTTGCCCAATTAAAATAAGCTAGAATCACTACCTACCAAAGTGTGTATAAAAATCATTGCATTGAGCAATGGAGAGTAGCGGGCAAGAGCAACATTTTCGCAGCATACTTTTTTTCTCGAAATTATTACAGAACAAGGCACTTAACGTATATCATGCATAAATGGGCTTATTACGCATTCGATTTTACTCTGTTCGACATAGCAAGACAAACATTTTCTATTTTTTCATCCACTTTTTATCCAAATTTAACAGAAATTTAGTTCTTTCGTCCTTTGATAATGTTCAATAGTCGCATTCGTTTTCGTACTAACACGTTTGATATTTTAAGTCATCTTACTGACAGGGAAACAACAGATGCTCGATATATACATGTTCGACTGTTGACTTATTTTCATAATTTTAGCCTTCGACACCTGTCACCAACTTCCATGATAGTGATGATACGCAACGAATGAGAAGCCGTTGTATGGAGAAATTTCATTTATAGACCTGGAGCGAGGGACATTCGGCGAAATATTACCCAAAGTGATGATATTTCCCGAGGGGCTTTGCCCCGAGGGAAATATCATCACTGAGGGTACCGAATCCCCCGATCGGAGGGTCTATAAATTATATATTAGACTCAAAATTAAAAGCCCCCAAGTCATATGAAGCCTAAATTACACCAGCATGTTATATTTCACTCCAAAAGCACGCGTGCCATCGTGCCTTTGCTTCTGCGCCTGCGCAAATTACGAATCGCGTGATGCTGCAAACTTCCATACTGACATACGGCTTGGCGATCAAAATTTTCGTATAAAAATGTCAACTAATCAGGGGAAAAAACGAAAATGTGTTAATCTTCTCAATTACGAGGCAATAAAAGAGAAGGCCACAGCGGATAAAGCATATATTGAAGGCATTCGAGAAAGAATATCCGAATTAAAAGATGTTGATATTGAGCGTTTGTTGTCGGGCGCAGTCGATCTTTGCGAAGATGAAGCCCTTCATATTCTTAGCGCTAAATTGTCGGTAAGATGTTTATACTTCTTGTGCGATGCTATAAGACATGTTGCTGATAACATCAATCGAGTAACAAATGGCGTTCCAGTTCGAACGAATTATATTTTCAAGTTATTTACAAGCATGGCCGCGGCGAACGGACAATGCGCAAAGGTGTCGATTGGAGAATTGTCGACTTATATCAAATTTATTGAAAAATATTGCGATGCGTTTCTCCGACATGTTGATAATGAAGAGCATTTATAGCAGTTAACGAAAAAGGAAGAAATCCCTTTTAATAAATTCTTAACTCCTCCAGTTCCAATATGTTTGTCTTGCGAAGAGAATTTGACTGTCAGAAACAACCCGTCGAAGGCTAAATTGTTTACGTTGGAAGGCCCTATCCCATGCACTAAAATTACGCTGGAGTGTAGACGATGTTCTCATGTTTATGATATATGCAACTACACCGATACATCTGGCACTCATTTTTATGGGAAACCAGCTGATATTGTTGAAATAAGTGACGTTACATTTATGGAGATGAACCTTTACAAGTGGTTTCCAGCTCTAAGGTAAGATGTGCATATGTTGCGTTATTTAAATTAAGGTATTGATGCCATACTTTTTGAAATTTTAATTTATGTGTTTAAGTATTGTTATTTTCCCTTAGCAATCATTCTTGGGTGTCGTTTAGTGGCTTCTCAGAAGCACATAATGATGTCTGTGAAGATACAATACATAAGTATGCTTCAGTAGTTGCTGGCCAGACAGAGGCAGAAGGTAAAAGTTGGGGGGAAACATCTTGGGGCTAAGTGGTCAGATAAACCATTTAGCCAAGGTGTATCAAATTGATCCTTGGTATATGTTCTAATTTCACCAAAACTAATGTTTCACAGTTTGGTGTAAGTTAAAGGTTGAGGTCTACATCACTAAGCCTTGTGACCGTATAATTTCAGCATTTTCATCAGTCAGTATAATCTGTAGACATTGCAGACTGGGGATAAAATGCTGACTAGGGGTACGAGTACAGTACCAGTTAAATCAGGACAGTGATCTGTCACCCGACCGCAAATTATTTGGCGTTAGTCAGCATTTTATCCCCAGTCTGCATTTATTTTTATACCCCACACCCAGCCTGGTCTGCAGATTATACTGACCGGTATTTTCATTTATTTGTCGTCAATTAAACACAGTCTTATCATTATGAAAACATTCTCAGTAATATGAGTTTACTTATTTTGTGAATCATATAGACTTGGTGGCAGAGGATGTTGTTGGTGAAGGCAATGGAGCAAGAAGCATTAGTAAGTAATGTTCACCTTTTAGTTGTTGATATGATATATATCAATATACAGTATGATGTTTATACATTAGTATTATCAAGAATAAGAGTTGAGATTTTGAAACCAGTCACAGTATAATTGAATTCTTTGACTCATTATGAGGTGGAAAAGGAACTGGTAGTTGTTATAACAGCATAAACTTAGCTTGATCAACACATGTATTACAACTGACTCGTCAACAAATTATACATGCCATTATATAGGTACCTAACTAATTAACATTATAATAACGTCCTAATGACTATTATGACATCTTTCCCTTTTTGAAGCTGAGTACTTGGGATCTAATAATAAAACAATAAATTAAAATATATAAATAATAAATGTCCGTGTCCGTACTGAAATACGATAACTAAATTTAGGACTATATGAACTACGATTAATAGTTAAAATTAAATAAATGTACGATATGAGTAATTCGTGTTCGTGGCATTACACTTCAGTGTAATCCCGACCCTATTTCAATACAAAGTCCTTTAGGTAGCTCGGAGGTTTCCGTGCTCTTCCAGATCTTCGTACAGCACCGTTATCTTCTGCAGCAGGTAAACATGTCATTTCTGTCCTTGCTTCATTACTGCCCATTTCTTTAGAAGGGCTCATTTGTCCTCCAGAGCCACCCATTCTTCCCAAACGAAACGGCTTTATCCTAACTTCATATTCTTCATCCAAAGGGTTCAAATCGACAGCTCCCCTGTTGTAATACTTGGCTTGTTGTCTTTTCCGTTCCGCTAGTTTCTCTACCGTGGTACCGCTGTCAATGGATTGAGGTTGCAGCAGCTTCGCTGTTGTTGGCAACAAGGTTCTCGCCCGCCTATTCAACAGACGCTGGGCTGGACTGCTCTTCATGCTCGCGGAGGGAGTATTTCGATGGTCAAGAACCGCCAAAAACGCGTCTGACTTTGCTTTCTTCGACTTTCTTAGGATTTTCTTAGCTTCTTTTACGTACAGCGCTTTCGGCTTTACCATTTGCTTGACTGTGGTATGGACTACAGGTGATGTGCTCGAAGTCCCATTCCTTAGTAAATATCTGGAAATCGTGTGCCACGAACTCCGGGCCATTGTCCGTTATCACCTGCTCGGGTATGCCGTGTCTCGCGAAATGACTCTTGATTTTCCTAATGACGTGTACTGAGGAAATATTCTTTAAGTGATCCAGCTCAAAGAAATCACTAAAATAGTCAGCGGTAACTAGATAGTGTTTTCTCTCTAGTTCAAATAAGTCTATTCCTACACGTTTCCAGGGTCGACTTGGCACTTCATGACTAAATAAAGTTTCCTTTGGCTGACTTCTCTCATACTCACGACAGGCTTCGCAGGTTGACACATGGTTCTTGATATCGTTGGACATACCGGACCAGTAAAGGCACTCTCGAGCTTGATTAAAGCAACCATTTACTTCCAGGTGGGAGTTGTGGACTTTTCCCAGCATCTTGCTTCTCATTGCTTGCGGGATAACCACTTCTTCTCCTCTAAATACCAGACCATCTTGGATCGACATCTCGTCTCGGATGTTGAAGTAGGGTGTTACAACATTTGGCAGATCTTCTTTTTGCTCTGGCCACCCTTGCCGAATCACCGTCGTCAAGACTTGGAGGGACTCGTCGCTTTTTGTTTCTCGTTGTATTTCCTTTAATCGTTCGTCGGAAATTGGCAGGTACTTCATCATGTTGATAGTCTCGAACTCTGGACCACTTTTCCCATCACCGGGAATGCTCGCTCTGGACAACGTATCAGCAAGGAACATGTTGCTTCCTTTCTCATATTTCACTTCGATGTCATACTTCTGGAGACGGATCATCATACCCTGCAGTCTCTTGGGCGCTCGGTGAAGAGGTTTCTTCAAAATACTTTCTAGAGGTTTATGATCACTGTAGACGGTAACTTTTCTGCCAAACGTGTAGTCATTAAATTTCTCGACCGCATAAACGATGGCCAACATTTCCTTCTCTATCTGAGCATATCTTGTTTCTGTCTCAAATAGTGTTCAGCTGGCATATGCAATCGGATGACCATTCTGCATTAGGGCCACTCCCAAACCAGTCCGACTGCTATCGCATTGGATCTCAAGACTTTCTGATGGCTTATAGTACGCGAGGACTGGGGTCGTTGCGATTAAATGCTTCACTTCATTCCATGCTTTCTCGTGTATTTCCAACCAGCACCACGCCGACTATTTGTGTGTTAGATCACGCAAAGGCTTCATAACCTCCGATAGGTTGGGTAGGAAACGACTAAGGTAATTCACCATTCCGTTCAAACGTAAGATTTTTTCAGAAGTGGTGGGTCGTGGCATCTGCATAATCGCCTTCACTTTACCTGGGTCGACTTTCAAACCTTCATTGGTGAGAAGATGACCATGGAATGAAACCTCTTTACACTTGAACTCCAATTTGTCCTTGGTCAACTTAATGCTCTTTTCTTTACACCGTCCCAGTAGCCTTCGAAGTTCTTGTCGTGGTCTTTTTCGTCGGTACCATAGACAAGGATGTCATCTGCGATACACCTCACTCCTTCCAGTCCCAGGAGCTCTTGGTTGAGTCGTATCTAGAAAATCTCGCTGGACACATTTAAACCAAAGGGCAGGCGCAACCACCGCAATCTTCCGTAGGGGGTAGAAAACGTTGTCAGCTTGCTTGACTCTTCGTCCAATTCTAGATGCCAAAATGCGGATGCCAGGTCAACCTTAGAAAATACACGAGCCTCTGACAAATCAGGTAGTAAATCATCTATGACAGGAATTTGATATCGCTCTCTCTTCAGGGCTTCGTTCAGTGGCTTTGGATCTATGCATACGGGCAATGCACCAGATTTCTTCATTGCCACGACAATTTGACTCACCCACACGGTCGGTTCTTCGACAGGTGTGATGACTCCCAGTCTCTCTAATCGTTGTAACTCGACTTTGAATTGGTCTCTCACTGACACGGGGATTTTCCGTGCCGGTAGTACGACTGGTTTATGATTTGGGTCTACTTCTAGATGGACTATTCCTGGCAATCTTCCCGAATCGTCGTTGAAAACTTCAGCATGCTTGTCTACCACTTCCGTTTTCTTACAAAACACAGTGCTAATGAAGTTCTCTTTGTGAATCGTCAACAGCCTCATCTCCTCTGTGGTCTTCAAACCTAACAACGGAGTCAGGTCATCCTTGACGATCAAGAACTTCACGTCATACTTCTTCTGATTTCTTAAATTAACCACTCGAACGACGCACGTTCCCAAAGGTTTCACTTTAATACCGTTCCACATGACTAGTGTTCTATCACATGGAGAAATCTTTTCCTTTTCTACATACTTGTATGGAAGTATGTTTGCGCTGGCGCCACAGTCGACTTGGAAATGTACATGAACGTCGTTGACTGAACATCTTCGCAAATACCGCTTTCTCTTTCATAGCTTGAATTCTCACGACGCTAATTTCTTCCTCCTCGCTTTCTATGCAGTATATGGCGGACTTTCGACATCTCTTGGCAAAATGATTCTTTCTTTTGCACTTGTTGCAGGTTTTTCCCCAGGCTGGACACTTTCGCTTATCTGGCCAGTGCTCAAAGCCGCAAAATTTACACGATATTTTTTTCTCGACCGATTTCGTTTTCCTTTCATCGTCCTCTGAACCGTCCGATTCTGATTCTTTGTACTGCCGATTTTTTGTGTCTTGATCTTATTAGCATAGTCATTAGATGTTTCACTCATTGACTTCATTTGCATTTCAGTAATCTCTTCACTTCGACACGTATCAATGCATTTACTCAGAGTCAAATCTCCATTCTAAGCAGCTTTTTCATTGTTTGTTCATTTTTTTATCCCGAGAACTATACGATCCCGTATGAGGCTATCTCGTAAACAGTCGCAAAAGTTGCATGTCTTCGCCAATGTCTTCAGCTCAGCAACATAGCTATGGATTGATTCGCCCTGTAGTTTATCTCGCTTGTTAAACACATATCGCTCGAATGTCTCGTTAACTTCTCCAATACAATGGGCTTCAAGTTTTGCCATTACCACTTTCCAGTTGCTTGAATTTACGTGTTCGTTGTATCCAAATGTTTTGATAACTTTTAGGCCTTCATCTCCAACTGAGTGCTTGAACATTGCCAACTGAAACGCAGAACTCTCATTCTCTAGACGCGAGATAATGAAGTAATTGTTGTATTTTTCTTTCCATAACTTAAAATTCTCGGCCGCTTCGCCGCTATTTCTTAAGTCTAAAGGTTGTGGAGGAGAAATATTGTGACTCAAATAAACTGCAGGCTGTCCGACGGCTTGTCCAGCTTCGTGCTCCATACTGTTATTCTTATAGTTACGCTGCCACCATGTTATAACAGCATAAACTTAGCTTGATCAACACATGTATTACAACTGACTCGTCAACAAATTATACATGCCATTATATAGGTACCTAACTAATTAACATTATAATAACTTCCTAATGACTATTATTATGACAGTAGTAATGTTTAAGTTAAAATCTCTTTCTTAGATGTTCTTCCTGGAGAAATGTCGCCAAAGGTGATTGCAAAGTGCTTTTGGCGAAGGGAAGTTGAGGAGGAACTTACTGGCCTAGGTTTGCGAGACGAATGGTCTTATCAAATAAATCAACTGGCCCATTATCTGGTACATTGGATAATGCTATGGAAATGTTGGATAAAATGCGTTGTGAACAGCTGTATTCACACCAATGCTCTGAACACTGTAAGAGCAAAGGTACTGTCATATTTTAACATTTACAACTGTAGTTATAAACTGTCTTTCAGTGGTGTAACAGACAACAGTGTAAGGTCAGAGTAAAGCAACCATCCTCAAAGGACCCTTGGGTGAATCTAAAATAACAGCCTCAATTTAAAAATTGAATTAGAAAATGTACATATTGTGACAGTTTAGTAGCCCAATGCAATATTTTCTTTCACTGGAATAAAATTTCCAACCCTGTACTATTATCACTATACTCTTTAGTCTTCAGCAATTCATTAAGATTTTTAAATGTATATGCCAGGGGGGGGGGGGG